TGGAGGGGCGGGGGCGGGAGCCGGGCGTTAAGCCTGGAAGCTTGGCTGTTTACCCAAATGATTTTCCTTTCAGGCCGGAGACGCCAATGAGACAAGATCAAACTCCCCTCCTCACAGTGCGTGTGGTGTGTGTGTGTCTGTGTGTGTCCTCCAAGCCGGGCTTTGTGAATGGGGGTCCCGGGGCCGACCCGGACGCCAGCGCCTCCTCCCGGGGGCTAGGAGAAGCCGAGCGCAGGGCGCCCGGAGGAGCAGTGGCCGGGGGAGAAGAGCGGAGCTGCAGCGGCTTCCCCGAGGCCCAAGGAGCGCAGACACAGCGGGAGGGAGGGACAGCGAATCGCATCTTCCTTCCAGTCGCCTAATTTCCGATCCCTCCAGAGCTTCGATCTAACTCCTTGGGCCCCTGGTTTCTCCCTAAAGCCCTCGCTCCAGGTCTATTAGCTGCACTTTAGGCCAAGATTTTGGCGACATCAGTACATCGCAGGCCGCGGGACCCGCAGCTCCAGACCTGCGCCTGGGTGCATGTTCGTGCACCGCAAAAACGACTAGAGATCAAGAAAGCGAGCCCAGACCCCAGAGGGGAAGACTGGGGGAGAGAGAAGAGAGGGGCCTGCTGAGCTGTGCGGGCGGCAAAGCAGGTGACCTTCGTCCTGGTTGTGGGTCCGGCCGCTGCTCCAGGGCCTTCGACACTGAAATGTCACTTGCGAAGTAACAGCAACAGTATTGTCACTATTATTGATAATAAAAAGAGACGAAGGTGCAGTGACGAGTATTTATTAAGATTAAACAGTAATTTAAAATGTGTTTACAAGCAGCTATATTTACAGTTTCTCAAAGCTGGTTTCTAGCGTGGAGGGCTGCTAAAGGCTTACTCAGAGTTGTTTCAGGAAGAAAAAGGTGTCGTCCCAGTGGTTCTGGCTCTCCATGCATTGGTTCTCTTGCCTCCAAGTACTCCGGAGTGACCCCCACCCTTCCCACCCACATATCATTTCACTCGAGGGTTCCTTTAGAAAGGAAGAAAGAGAAAGGAAGAAAAAAGGAAAACAGATCATTACCTCCTTTCCCAAGATGTCTTGTTTCACTAAAATTCCCTCCCTTGGCGCTGGCCTGGACACCTTAGAGACCTTCAGGCACTTGCTTCAGGCCTCTAGCCCAGTACCAGGGGCCAGCCTGGGGCAGGAACTGTCTGCAGCCTCAAATGTTCTCGGGCCACGGAGTACCCTGGGTCCTGGGCTCAGGGGAGACAGGGGCAGTTGAGGGCCTCTGCGAGCCCTTGGGGGATGGATGACTGAGGATCCAGCTATGGTGTTTGGTTTGGGACAAACTTGTGTGAAGCAGTGGACACTCTTGGAGGAAAGCAGATGCACCTCATAATGGTAAAAAGGATAGTTGACATTCATTATATTTTGTGCCACACTGTTCCCACCCCGGAGAGCCTCCAGATCTGGAGACTAACCATCCTGGCCAAGGCTAGGTCTCTTGGAACTCTGTGGCTAGGCAGCCCAGTGGAGTCACAGGGCTGGGGGTCAAGGTTTTTACCCCTCAGCCTAGGAAAATGGATGTTGCAGGCCCAAGAGCCAGCCCATGAAACCTCTCCATGTTTTTAATATGCCCCGTGTGGCCCCAAGCCACACAAGGAGAAGGAAACCAATGAGTTCTAGTTGTACTCTTTCATTTAAGTGTAGGAATCCTGAGAAAAAAATAGACTGGGCCCCAAGGGTGGGGGTGAGACCTAGGCAGGTGGGAGCACTCAGAGAGCGAGGCCAGGTCTGCAGCCAGGCCTGAGGCCCTGTGTTCTGTGCCTCCTCTGGCTCAGGGCCACTCCAGGGTGGGGTGCGACTTCCTCAGGTGCCACGGGGTGCCTGACTGACTCCAACGCCTCAGCAGCCAGGGAGGGGCCCTTGGGCTGCCAAGCTTGGTGGCTCCCCAAGCCCCCCCCACCCCCGATGCTGGGCTTCTCCGGCCTCCTTCCCCAGCTCTCAGAGCTGGGCTTTGCTCTCTTCTCAGCCATCTCTCCCATCCCTCTACAGTGGAGACAGGACCCTAGCTGGTCATACCCCATGAGGCCTCAGGCAGTGCCCTGTGAGGGTGGAAGAAAGCAGGCACTGAGCTCCTTCTGGAGACAATGGGCCTCCGTGTGCAATCTGGCTCCTCCAGGCCTAGTTGCTGCACCCTTCGCACCCACCTCCAGCTATGCCTGGAACCAGGAGCAGGTGGAAGCATACGAGGGGGGTGGCTTGGGGCAGAGAAACCTTTTCTTTTCTCTGTATCTGCTCCAGAATGCACAATGTCCCTCCGGCACTCACCCCATTGGTGGCTTTTCCCTGGTAATCATTTGGCCGGTCCCTGATTGCAACCTGCAGACCTAACTCCTTTCTCTTAGAAAAGAACTCTGCCTCTCTTTCCCCTACTGGCCCCGAGGAAGAGCTCATTGGTTTTAACATGGGGGGCGGGTGTCTTGAAGACTTCTTTAAGTGTGAGATGCAGTAGAAACTCTGGAATCTCACACTCTCTCCCTGCTGCAACTGGGAAGCCAGTCCCCCCTGAAGAAATAGTCTTTTTCCCCCACAGTCTATCACGTATCTATCACAACTGTGGCGTGAGAAATACCCTGGGCCTGAGACTATTGATAGATGACAGAGGCAATATTCACAATCGATCCTTTAATAGTCAGACGTCATAAATCATGTTCAACGTCCTGACAGCACAGTACTTCACTTAATAATATAATTAAGATTAAAAGTCCTGAGGTATTGGTGGCAGTACATATTGATAGCTTCAAAAATTGCATTCTGGACATGATAGTGGAACACAGTAGGAACTTTGGAAAATACAGCCCCTTCTCATAAGGTGGCCCTTCCCAGTACCCCTGCAGGGCCTGCCTGCACAAACACCTCTCCCCTCTTAGCAACACTGCCTTCAATAGGCCTGAGGAGAGAGCAGGCCAGTCTTTTCTTAGAAGGAGGATAAAGAGAAATAGGGCTTGCCTTTGGTGTATTTCCAGAATTTAGGGAGCTTTTAAAAATTTATTCTACCAGCCTTGAATATGCAATTTTAAAAAAAAGCATCCAGGAGATCTTGGAAACAATGTTTTGCTCCTTCATCAGTTGTCTTGAAAAGTTTCTAAATTACATATAAACAGCTGAGCACGGGAAAATATGCCAGTCCAGTCCCACTTTCTTCCACACTGCTTCTCAGTACAGCCGTGGAATTCAGGACAGAAACCAACATTTCCAAATGAAGAGTAAAACTAAAGGGGCAGGGTCCTGAGCAGGGGTGAAAGTCTCCTCTTTTCATCATGAGCGGTGCTGACTGTAAGTGTGGCTGAAATTATTTCAAAGAGTGGAATATTAATCAAATCAATCAGAGCTGACAAATGAGAAATACTGGAAAGTCAGTGGTAATTTACAACTTTGTTATTAGTTAAGAATCACGCGCCTTATAGCAGTAATTAATAATGCTTAGAGAGGAACCATTTGGAAATCCCCCTCCTATTCTTTTCATTTTACTCGGCCTCTTAAGGAAGGAAAGGGAGCGAGGAAGCAAATGAGTGATCAGTAGAAACAGGAAAAGCACTGAATCATTTCTGGGGAGAGCAAAACTGGAAAGTAGAAAAGAAAGGGAAAAAAGATTAACCCCATGAGAGGCCATTAGGAAATAAAGAAAATACAGGAGGAGGGGCAGTAAATCAGAAAATGATTTTCTTGCTCCATAGGCCAGGAGCAGGCTGGCTAAAGGTTGAATTTCAGATGGCCCAGAACTCCATCAAAATGAACAGTGCTGCTAAGATAGCCAGAGAGTAGCTCAGCTCTCCATCCAGGCAGAGCTCAGGGCATTGTCTGTTTGGGTGTTGTTAACAATGTATTTCTTTATAGCCCATGAACAGACGTGTGCAGGCTCTTTCCCAAATTCCATCCCTGGAGACCTGACTGGCTTTCATGTTTCCGGTGTCAACTCTTGGTCATAGACAACCTCCCCTCCAAACACACACTCATCTTACACTGATTATTACATTGTTTCAGCCCCACCTAAACCACATACCAAAATAATGACTTGTTGAAAAAAATGATAAATCATTTCAGCATCTGAGTTTGTAAAACCATTTCAGTCAACAGGCTTGCTGGGAGAATCTAAACACATTCCCAACCTTGTGCTTACTGGAGAGCTGTGGAGTTGATTGAACTTTTATTTGTTAAATGGGGCGGGGGGTTGAGGTTGTTTTAAAAAATGGAATAGAAAAATAGCAGAGAAAATAGCTAACTTTGGGATACTATTTTTTTGGAGGGGGGGGCTTTATTTGGTCATTATTAAAAAGCCTCAGTGTTGTCTCATTGAGCCAGGCTGGGTTGACAAAAGGTAGCTGGAGATTGAGATTTATTGGTCTCTAAATGAAAAGATTCATTTGATATAAGAGGTTAACTCAAAGTTCCTGCACGGTGATAAGCACCGGCAAATGCCTCTGTGGAGTCAGCACAAAAGCACCTAGAAGAAATCTTAAAAACATGCAGAGATGTAGACACCACGCAAAGATGCTCCTCACTGAAGCCACGAATGAATTCTCCTTCCTTTGTCATTTCTTCCTGCAAACCTGCAGCTTTTTAGGTGCCAGCGACCGTCTGCCCTCACCCCACTTTGCCATGTTGTATCTTTTGCCTTTATTAGCGGTCATTAAGAGAATAAGGGGGAGGAGGGAGACAGTAAAAGGGGA